ATCAGGAAAATGTAGTGTAGTTCGATTTATACTTAGTGCTTTTTCCTAATACGCCACAGGCAAATTGTCCACTTTGGACAAATTAGATTATAAAGTGATGCACACTGACACAAATTTGCTTGTGAACTGAGGTACACCAAAACCAAGATACACATATAGCTTATATTTTGTATTTTTTCACGAGCAAAGTCAGGTTATACAACTAAAATTAAATGTTGGTTCATCCAAAGTTAATAGCCTCAAAAAAAGACAGGACCGTTTTCAAAAAGTTATACCAATAAAGTAATTTAAATTTGATGAGTTTTATAGCTTATGTTTTTAACTCCTACAGATTGATAAATTTTAGCTAAAGGTTATAACTTTTTCTATAAATATTCAATATTATAGTATCACCATAAGTGCTTGTATGTAATTGTAATACCTCTGTTCCGATCAAAAATATAATTTTACAATGTTTTATCATTCATTTACTTTATAGAAACATAAATAATATAAATTTAAAATAAACATAGGTCGTCAGAATATAGATACATTATACAAATTACTCTTCAATGATAATGTTATCTCTTGGTGGTATGTATTTTAATATTTTAATGAGCTGAAACTTGCCTTGTATTTTGTACCCTCCATAAAAATCTAAAAATATAGGATTCAAGCTTTAATCTATGAGTTCAGAAGGGTCTTTAGTTTCTTGTTTTCACCAAAATACTATAGTTCAATAGTCTTTGTGCGAGCACCTATCTGGGTATCAACAAAATTTTACTTGTGGTTTACTAAAATAATGTTTGGAAGATAGATCGTTTTTAACCTGAAATTATTATTGACCCAGACTATAGGTTTTTTTTGATAGGTTTGATATTATTGATTTTTTTTTTGGGGGGGGGGAGAAATAACACAATACCTAATTTAGGTATAACATGTAATGTACATTATCATAAATCTTGTTTACTGAAATTATCACCCAATTTTCTATTAAATAAATAATGAGTTATTTCTAACAAGTATGAGTTTACTACCATTATAATATCTTGTTAATTTGTTTGTGCATTGATAATAATATTTATATTTGTTATATTTTTAGGCGTACCTAGATTTAGAGCCATTTATGTCTGGTTCACCATATTCATTGGGCATCTCTTTCAATTTAACTTCAGCGCCTGTTATGTTCCACCTTGAACACGACCCATCTTTATTTGAAGAAATCGACAAGGGTGTAAATTCTGTTCAAGATGTTGATTATGCCAAAGTATGATTTTAATTTATTATCCTAAAAAATATTGTGATTGTATGTTGTGTATCCATTGATTGTGTAAATACTTTTAATGTTTCATATGTATTGTATAGATTTAAAACTAGGAAATGAATGGTTATTTAGCAAATCACACTCATACTTGTTTTGAGGACAGCAGTTGATGGTTTATATATGTGTATGCCTAACTTGCTAGATTCAAAGATATTTCGGGATATGATTTTTTTTTTATTCAAAAAATGCTAATTTATTCATTTTCATTAAATTAAAATAATTTTTAAATGTAGAATCTTATTGTAATAATTATTTTATAACAAGTTAATATATTTTATTTTAGATTCACAGTATTGTGATGAAAGGACCTGGAATAGATTATACCAAACAATTGCAAAAAGAACATTCGCGGAAAGCCATGGAAGTATTGGAAGTTTTTGAAGAGAGTGATGCGAGAACAGCACTGTCCAACATCATTGTAGCGATGGGAGGCGAATAAAGTTTTATGCTTTATATTTATTGTTATCTTTTTTCTATATATTTTAGGAAATTATTTAATTTTGAACATTGCTATTGTTGTAACGTACAGGGTATTTATTCTGATTAATTTAGTCGAAAGTCTGAAGCTATGCAATGCAACACCATAGTATCAGGCTTATTTGTAATATTATTTAGTTACTTATAAATAAATTGTATTGAATTGTTGATTGTTATTTAGAAAAGCTTATTTTGTTGTCATCTGTTAATGAAAATCACTCTATTATTGTATAATATTTTGTAACATTTAAAATATTACATGATTTTCGGTAATAAATCTAAAGCAATACATTTTTATTAGCAAAACATACTGGTTATTTAATTTAACTACAAACAACTGTAACAGTATCAAAATTACTGATAAATATATTATTATTGTACTCTTTATAATAACATACTGATGAAATAAAAGCTCCTATTTTTATTTATGGTTTCTTATTAAACTAGCGTCTAGCACTATACCTATGGATATTACCTACTATAAGTTTATTCACTTAGAATTTATTGGTGCAAAAATATTTAAATAATTTAAAATGTATTATTTATAATTTGTGTATTAACTAAGTGTTAAAACTGAAAATAATTTCTTAATGATTATCAAAGAGAAGGAAAATGCAGACATTATCCATTATAACCAGTTATTGAAGCTGACTACAAGAACAACTAAAGAGGGATCATATATTAATATTAAATTACCCAGATTTTTATCAACACTGATTAATAAAGTTGCTCTATTGTTTAGTATAAGTACATTTTGTGTGTACCTGTCATTAAAGGGGATCAATGTAATGTGGGAGGTGTTAGATTTTTTACTCAATGATAGAGTAATTCAATCATTGTATAATATAATGAAAATTTATTCTGAGCGAAGGCGGTCCAACCAACTTTGCTCAGGGTATTTTATTATACATTCATATTTATTATACTTTTACAATTCAAACCAACTTACTGTAGAACATTAACAGTGTGGATAGGTCTGTGTCGTTATTTTGACAAATTTGGTGAAAATTAAGTTTCAAACACTAAAAAAAATTGATATTCTTCTATTAAATATCAAAATTTTACTTTTAAAACAACTCTAAAATAAATTGAGTTTTAATATTTTTTGAATTTAATTTACTAATTTCTAGTATTCAGGTACATAGACACATGATACACAGGTAGTTATGTAAGTTTTAAAGTTTATGCAGGACTGCAGTTGATAAGTAGAACTAGTAGAAGCTTTTTATTAGGGGGGGGGGGGGGNGTTGTGGAAGTGTCCAGTGTCCAGTGTCCACTGTACGAGGACAAACAAGCAAGGAAGCAATAATATTGATTTATACACTTCCTAAGTATACCATTATTGTCTAGGGGGTAAAATAATGTACATTTTTTTGGACATAAATTATAGTATAATAAGTAATAAGTAATAAATAGGTACCTACCTATGTATTATTATTATATATCCCATAGAAATCAGTTCTAGGGAACTAGGGAGGTATAATTTGTTTGTGGTAGTTTATATCTAATTCATAGTTCGCAATTCATAAATGTGTAATGTTTGAACACTGGTAAACAATAGGTAATAATTAAATCTTAACGGTTTTCATAAGATGTATCTTGTTGAGTGTAGGTATAGGTAGATACATGTACAACACAATTTATGTGAAAACTATTATAAACCGCATTATGTAGGTAAATTGTATATTATTTAAAACACTACATATTCATTTTTATATAAATATGTGAATCAAATTATTAATTTATGTACCTACAAAAATAATTAAATTATAAAAACTACATTTATAGTCAATAACTAATGTTACACTCGCATAAATTATGCAGTATACATAATTATTATAATATTATGAGTTTAATAGTATAAATGAATAACTAATTACAGTGATAAGTACTGACGTAGATGATCGAATAATACAGGACTATTATTTGGTATACAGGGTGTTCCAACAGGCAACAAGTATGCTCACCCCCCTATTTTCTTTAATAATGAAGTTTTCAAAATCTGATTTTTGGAATCTTTAAATATACTCAAAGACCATATTTTTATATTCTTGAGATTTTTTGTACCACTTAAAGTCTTAAAGAGTGTCCTGTGGCGATACAAACTTTTGTTTTTCAAATGGGAACCCCACTTTTTTACTGTAAATTATTTAGCGGATAATTTTTTTGAGAATTTTGATGTATTGAAATCAAAATTCGAACAGGTAGTTTTCTAGTTTAAATAGTTTAATGAGAAATTTGAGCCCACCCACACTTTGCAACGGTACAAGACTACTAATCAAAAAATTGAGAAGTTCATTACTTGAGTGCATAATCTTAACGGGCTATATGGTAATGAAAAAACAGTTTTAAAATAAAGAATACAAATTATACCCTCAGATTTTCCTTTTAAAGTTAAAAGAATTCAATTTCCCGTTAAATTAGTATTTGTAATGAGTAATGACTATAAATAAAGTACAGGGATAAACAATTAACGTTGCTGGAATTGACCTAAGCGTTCAATGTTTTTCTCGCGGTCAACTATAATAAGTCGTCCTGTCACGTGTGACATCCAAATTTAATTTGTATATTTTTGCCCCCAATCCAGAAAAAGTTGATAACGCTTCTTACATAAAATCTATTAAATAAAAAAAAAATTTGCAATAAGCATCAATTTTTCTATTGACACAAGCGTTATAATTTTTTTTCAACATTATGAAGAATCCGCGGTGGCGACGCTAAATTTATATGGCTACATTACTATGGAGACGTTTGTAAAAGTGATCTAAAATAAAAATTATTATTTAACATCCTGCAGAATTAATATCTGAGATCTAAGATCTGAAATAGCGAAGTATTGCCGGGTCAGCTAGCTAGTCTTAGTATATATAATAATATAATATTATTGACTTTTGTCAATACTGAATACTGTTAAGAAATCAAATTTTCACCCAAGAAATTCATATTTATTTGATCGATACGAACATGTTATAATATTAAAATTAATTATGTTTTAAAAACATAAAAAAAAAGGGTAAGTGAATGTCGCTCTGCTGTACATTAGGTGTCTAAAATAGCCATACTCAAACTTTTTTTCATTTGGGCCACATAAAATATTTTGAAATATTACGCGGGCCGCAAGTCTAAATGAACGGAACGGAAAAAAAAACTAAAAATACATTTTTATATTGTGTACAACATTTGAAAATGTATTGCGAAAAAATTAAATATTTATTTTAAATTAGTGTGAATTTTGATGTTGAGATAGTTCTTTAACTATTTTGGATAAATCTGGTTTGTAATTGCTGCATGCTACTCCTCTTAACAAGTCGTCAAGATGTGAATCAGTAAGCCGATTTCTGTACACATTCTTTGCATATTTAATTTTTGAATATGAAGTTTCACATAAAAATGTTGATGTGAACATTGTTAGCAAAAAGTGGGCATATTTTTGTATGGTTTTGTATTTTCCTGGCACTAAATTCCAAAATTCGAAGTATTCTTTTTGTTCTCGCTTTTCTTTGAAAATAACTTCCAAATTTGTATCATTTTTTAATTCAATAAAGTTCTGTTTGGGCCACATATAAACCATTGGCGGGCCGCAGGTTGAGTATGGTTGGTCTAGAAGGTAGCTGTAATGGATGGTATTAAATTTGAATTCAATGATATAATATCAATATATCATCATTGTATAATATAAAAAACGATTCTGAGCCGAGACGGTATGTGAGTCTGCTTTATATATATATATTAATTACTTAATATTTATACGGTAGCCGAGAAGTTGAATTAATAATATTATTCATAATTATCAGTGATGCCGGAAAAATATTAAATATTCTTATGTAAAATTGAGCTACCGTTACCTTATTATACATCATTACATCGTATGATGTATTAAACGTATTAATTTAACAATGACTATTTTTTGTAAATTTATGTCAGTCAATTTATATTTTAATTAAAATATCAGTTAGAAGTTGCTTTTCATATTACTAAAAACCGTGATTACTTTTTCATTACAAAAAATACTTATGTGCTGTAACAACTAACAAAATCTACAGTGAGTATGCTCGAAATTTCGTTAATTTTAAATGAGTAATGTTAATCAATATCCGAGGCGTTAAGCATGAGAGGAATAAGTTAACCGTGAACCGAGATTTTGAAAAAGTCAGCTGACGCTCTGCGATTAATAATATGATGGCACCGTACTCGCTGACTAATAATAAACAATGTTTTGTTTTAAATAATCGGCGACGGCCTCGGACGAAATTCGAAATAGGCTCACTTGCAACTTATTATTCCAACTACCCACATCCGCACCCAAAACCTGCAATAATATGGCTGAATCTGAATCATTTGACATCGAAACCGCTGTTTGCATCGAAACTACAATAATACAAGACATCGTTGAAAAGATCATAAATGAAATAGAATTCGAAAATATGCAAACAGAGTTAAGTGTTTTTGACGATTATGACGAGGACCCAACCGCTGGAGACATATAGCGACGCTCCTAGGTTATGCGATGAAGTTTGCAGGCAGCGACGAGGGTAGTAGACAAGGCGAGGCGACGCGGGGTCGAGTAAAGGTACGTGAAAGTGCACTTTTAGGGTGATGGACAGTATGTCGCCAATACACGTTTTCCGGCCACCGGCGGTGGCGAGACGGGATAGCGGACGTCGCGAGCTTGAGGACGTCGACAAGCGAGACCCTCTGGCGGCGCGGCGGACGCCCGGCTGCTTCGGTCGCGAGGAACGACGACAGCGGCGGCTAGAGGTACCGGCGCGGGCAAACGACGCCGCCCCGCGATACCAGTGACAACTGCAGTACTGCACGAAAGACACTAGTGGCGGCGGCGGCGGCGGCGGCGGCGGCGAGGACCGAAGAGCTCAAGCTGGGGTGGATGATAGAAGACTGTAATTAAAGAGTAGCTATAGGACCAAAGACGTCAGCAGCGCAGGACTCGAGGGAACGAAAAGTTTCAGGGTTCGGCAGAGCCTCCGATCGCCGCCGATTCCGTAAATACCGAGATTAAAGTCTTCGACGCTCGCTCCGAGCTTAGGTCACCGTTTGTCGCCGGCACAACAGTCAACGTCTTCAGCATCCTGCAGGACCGTCACGCGCACAACATCGCGCACTATAGCCGCTCGTCGTCAACCGTCGTCGATCTTGTGGCCGTCTTGGCCGGGCTTCGTCCGCTGCTATGGTCGTTTTCGCGTCTCGATCCAACGCGCCCGCGAGTCTCGTTCGCCCCGCAAGACGGCTGTGAGAACTATGTATTGGTGACCAGTAGCCACTTCCAGACATCATTTGTACCACCCTTTTGCCATCAAGTACCCCCCACGTCGCCTTGTCTCTCTGATGCTTTTTTTTTT